ATTAATGGCAGATAATTTTCAAGATTGCAATACAAGGTTAGGAATCTTGAGGCTTTAATTGATCCAAATTTAGCTGTTCCAATGAAGTACATAGGCAGATGTCACTGCTTCAGTCTGCATGTATTAGCTACTTTGTTATATCCTACTTAACACTCACTATCCATTAATTTTGATGTTATTGTTTTCAGCATGAAGACAGCCAATCAGGAGGTTTTTCCATGTTTCCTCCCTTTTCAATTGTAAGTGGAATTTTTGTTGTAAAATTGTTTGAATCCAGCTTTTACCAGTATTATCTGGAGCTGAGAGGGATGTAATGAACAGGAAAGCAAAGAATGTTCAGATCTTGCTTTAAGAAGGTTGCCTAGTGTGTATAAAGAATTGGCTCACGTTCTTAAACTTCAACTTGTTTAATCAGAACATAGTGAACTCACAAGCGGCCATGACAGTAAACTATGACAAAGCAAGCCCGAGCGCGCACATGTAAATACTAAAATCTGATTGGATAATGCAATATCGTCACACCCTTCCTTGTTTACAAAGAAAGTGTACAAACTAGATATAACATAACAGAAACAAACAACTAACCAAGCACTAAAAAGATGATGTCACTGAACGCTCTAAACACAGTGTGTTTCAAACAATGTCTTAGTTAAAAGCTTAAACAAAGTCACTTGGATACAACAAAGTCTTTCAAATGGCTAGGTGGTCTGGAGGTCCGACCACTGTGAGTAACTGGCAAACCCACTGGCTTTACAGGCATAGACGGCGTTGAAACATCTGCAGGATTTAGACTTGTGTTGGGTTTCTCTGCAGCAGCAGCCTCTTTAGGAGGTGGAAATTCCTGTGAAGTTCCTGGCACTGGCTCGTTAGGGGGGAGTGGGGCAGTGAACATTCTCTCTGGCACACTGGGAGACACAGGTTCGCTACTGGAATGTACTGGCTCTTTGCTGCTTCTGAGGTGTCTCCTGTTTCTTCTGAAAACTCGCCCATCTTCAGTTCTCACATCATAAGACCTCACATCAACTTGCTTTTCTACTCGTGCCTTGTACCATTGGCCAGATCTATCTGTTGGCTTCACACGCACAACTTCTCCATTGTTTAAGGGTGGTAGTTCTTTAGCACTGATATTGTAGTATTTTGCTTGCAGCTGTTTCCTCTTGAAGAGTTTTAATGGGACATCTTCCACTATTTTAGGCTTCAATAGTTCACTGGTAGTTGGTATCAGTGTTCTAGTCCGGCGCCCGAACATCCTTTGTGTTGGGAACTCTGTAGACCTTCAGAGGGCGTGTTTCTCCATTCTAGTAAGGCTAGGTAGATGTCTGATCTTGCAGCTTTAGATTTCTTCAATAAACTCTTGGCGGTCTTGATGGCATTTTCTACTTTCCCGTTACTCTGTGGGTAATGGGGAGAACTGGTAACATGTACCATGTCATAATTGCTTGCAAATTGCTGAAACTCATAGGAGTTGAATGGTGGACCATTGTCACTCATCAGCTTACTGGGGATTCCATGCCTTGAGAAGTGTCTCTTTAGGGTGTGGATGACTTCGCTAGCAGTTTTGTCTTTGGGGGGGTTGATCTCAAAGTAGCTTGAATAGTAATCCACAGTACAGAGGTAGTCTCTATTGTCAAAGTGAAAGATGTCGGAACCAACTGTTTCCCATGGGCGGCTTGGGATCTTGTGTGAGATCAGTGGTTCTTTGGGCTGTTCTTTCTTGTAGCTGGCATGAACTTCACACTTGGAGATGTAATCTTTAATTTCAGCGGGCATGCCAGGCCAATAGACAATTTCTCTAGCCCTGCGAAGACAGCTTTCAATACCTGTGTGTGCACCATGTAGACACTCACGGATCTTAGGTCTGAGGCTTGACGGAATCAGGCATCGAAGACCTTTGAAGAGAACTCCATCCTGAGCTGTCAGTTCATCCCGGACGTCAAAGGAGGGGTGAAGTTCTATTGGCAGATCATCTTTCTTCTCTGGCCAACCCTTTAAGATAACTTGGGTGAGGGACTGTAGGACAGGATCTGCAGCTGTTTCTTGCTGGATCTCTACAAGCTGTGGTTCTGAGTTAGCTAGGAAATCGATAGCATGGATTCGCTCAACCTCTTTTTCAGTGGAGGAGCGGTCTGTGGTTGGCAGGTAAGCACGGGACAAAGTATCTGCTAGATACATTTCAGGACCTGGCTTGTAACGAATCTCAACATCGTACTGTTGTAGTCTCAAGAGTAGGCGCTGGAGTCGTTTCGGTGCTGATGCTAGTGGTTTCTTGCAAATAGTCTCCAATGGCTTATGGTCAGACCAAAGAACAACTCTTCTACCATAGACAAAGTGATGGTTACGCTCCACTCCAAATACTTGGGCTAATAGTTCTTTCTCTCTTTGAGAATAGTTCTTCTCACTGGCTGTGAGAGCTCTACTTGAGTATGATACAGGTTGCCCATTCTGCATCAACACAAATCCTATACCACTGGAAGATGCATCTCCCTGACCTTCCACAGGTTCAGCAGAATTGAAACATCTCAGGACTGGAGCTGAAGTGACAGCATGCTTGATACTTTGAAATGCTTCTTCTTGTACTGCTGACCAACTCCATTCAACGTCCTTGTGAGTTAATCTTCTCAGTGGCTCACAAAGTTCTGAGAGCTTACTTAGGAACTTCGACAGGTAGTTCACTAGGCCTACCAGTCTTCTAACTGCAGCTACATCGTTTGGTCTTTCCATTTTCAGTATGGCATCAACTTTCCTTGGGTCGGGTTTCACTCCTTCAGGTGCAAGGACATGACCAATAAAGGGCGTTTCTGAACACTTCAGTTGTAGCTTCTCTCGGTTAAGCTTCAAATTTCGCTCTCTGCACCTGTAAAACAGCTTCAGTAAATTGGCATCATGATCGTTCACAGCTTCATCAATGCTTGCACCACGGCCTGTAATAACGATGTCATCTGCAATCGTGTATATTCCATTCAGGCCCTCTAAGTTCTGATCCAGTTTTCTTTGGAAGTATTCAGGTGCAGGAGAAATTCCAAAAGGCATTCATGAATATCGGTACCAGCCCCAAGGGGTTAGGAATGTAGTCAGCTTGCTGGATTCTTCATCTAACTGTATCTGCAAGAAGCCATCTTTAAGGTCTGCTTTTGAAAACACTTTAACATTGGTTAACTCAGGGAGTATGTCTTCAATGACTGGAAGTGGATAGTGACTTCTTTTCAGGGCTTTATTGAGAAGCTGAGGGTCAATGCATACTTTAAGCTTCCCATTTGGTTCTCTGTAACAATTAGACTAGACACCCAGTCGGTTGGTTCTTCTTCCCTGATTATAACACTTGCTTGCTCCGGGTGAGTCAACTCATCTTTTAACCTATTCTTCAATGTTAGAGGCACGCGACGAGGAGGCATAATTGCAGGTGCAACAGCCATATCTACTTCCAGGTGAAGAGCTCCTTCCATACATCCTAAGCCTTTGAATACATCACTGTAAGAAGCAGTAACTTCGTCCATGGTTAGACCTTGACAGTCAGTTTTAACCACAGTTTCATAAACATTTAGGATGTTTTCATGCTGAACGGTGATCAGTCCCATCTCCTGTGCTGATGTAGAACCAAGGAGTGGAGTGTAATCTTCATCAATGACCACAAACTGAATGCGGTACTTCTTCTGATTTTTCAGGTTACGCAACTGGATTTTTGCCACACCTAGTACCTTCAGACTAGCTTTAGAGTAGGTGGTTAATTTTACTTCGGTTGTGTCAACCACAGTATCTTTTGGCAGAAATTTATGAGGTAACACATTGCACAAGGCTCCTGAATCGACTTGCATCTTCACTAACACATCTTCAATTTCGATGTGTGTAAATATTTTACTCTTGAATTCCAACATTTCCACAGTATTGACAGCATTTTGAGAGGACACAGACAAAATTTCTCCTTCAGACGAGTAACTTGCGTCATCGATGTCGGCAAGCTGATGGACCTTTCTATGCTTGGATTTCTGAGAAGGCTTCTTGGAATCGCTGGATTTCTTTCCACATTTTACAGCGAAGTGATTAGGTTTTCCGCAGGAAGAACAAATTTGACCATACGCAGGACATTTCACTCTATTACGCTCATGCTGATGGCCACAAAACTTGCATTCCTCGACGAGCTGATCTTTAGGAGATTTCTTCTTTTCCTTGCGCGAATTTGGTTTTTTAGGCTCTGCTTTCACGACCCTATCAACCTCACTCGATTGTTGGCTCGGTGCCATTTCTTTGAGCTGTGCCGACGTAGCTTCCATGGCTCGGCAGATATCCACACATTTTGACAGAGTAAGACCAGATTCTTGCAGTAATTTCCTCCTAACAGCATTTTCTCGGACTCCACACACAATTCTGTCGCGGATAAGATGGTCTTTCAAGGTTCCAAATTTGCAAGTTTCGGCGAGAGCTTGCAAAGCGGTCATGTATGTATCGATGGATTCTGTCTGTTCTTGAGAACGGTTATTGAATTTGTATCTCTTGTAAATTATATTGGTTTTGCCAATGCAATGCGTCTCCCACAATTCCAGGACCTTGGTTATGTCGGATTTCTCCTCTTCACTTCTAAAAGGTAGACCATTATGAATTTCGAGGGCTTCTTTACCAATGCAGGTGAGAAACGTTGCAACGCGAAGGCGGCTCGTTTTACTTCGAAGGTTGGTCACCTCTTCGTAAGCATCCCATACTTGTCACCATTGCTTCCACTCTTTCGACAATTTTCCACTGTGTGTTTCCAGTTTCGGCGGTAAAGATACATTGCACGTAAATGAAGAAGCCATAATACTTCCAGAAGGTGCAGTAGCGGACGCAGTAGCGCCTGAATTCGCATCACCATCACTCGGCATATTTGACTAGATTTCGACGACTTCAATGTGTTAAGCTGCAAATGTATCAATGAAAACTTGCTTGTCTTTACCAAACGCGGTTCTGGCCATTTACTTCTGACACCATATAAAGAATTGGCTCACGTTCTTAAACTTCAACTTGTTTAATCAGAACATAATGAACTCACAAGCGGCCATGACAGTAAACTATGACAAAGCAAGCCCGAGCGCGCACATGTAAATACTGAAATCTGATTGGATAATGCAATATCGTCACAGTGTGATTCCCTGTGTTTTTCCTTATAACAAATTGAAATAATGAGAATAATGTTTATTCAGTCAATGATGCAAATACAGTCGACTCCTGATAACCTGAACCTTCAAGGGAAATGGAAAAAAGTTCAACTTATCGGGAGCTCAAATAAAATGGCTAGAAGTAAGAAAAAAAACCATTGTTTACTGTACAGTGTACATTTTAATCACATTTACTTGTAGAAATGTTAATTGAAATTTGAGAGATATACTTCTAGATTACAAATCAGAACAAAATGTAACAAAAAATAGCCCAAATAGAGCATGCTTTTTACTGTTTTGAGAAGTAAAGCTGTTCACATTACATTCGTGACAAACAACATCAGCGTTCAATAGTAAACTATATGCCCACAACACGTCAATGGGAAATTCAAAATTCAATGTTTCAGACGCTACTACACTGTTTTTCCTCAACTTTTTAAGCACTCAAAACATGTTTCGAATTATCGGTTGTAAAATTGTACAAAAATGATCTGAGGGGAAACAAAAATTACTTCCAGTTAGCAGGAGGTGCGAGTTATTGAGGGTTCGAGTTACAGAGGGTAAAATTACAGTAAACGTATGAAGGAAAACAAGGGGAAATTGATTTTGCTTAGAGTTAGCACAAGGTAAAAACTTCAAGTTAGCCAGGGTTCGAGTTATCAGGAGTTGAGTGTAACTACAAGAAAATGATCCCAAGTCCTCTTAACCCAAGTTGTACCAGTGTCTTCCTGGTTACTAGTCCAAATGCTTAACCACTATAAAGCTACAGGCACCCACTTAAAAGAGAGCTTCAGAAACCAAAAAACTATGTTCAAACCCTCTTCATTTTATTTACCTAATTTACAGCTTGATCAAATCAAGCCCACACTCCATAGAAAACACAGCTTCCACTCTGAAGTGGTCTTTTAATGTAGTAGCAATTACTGGATTCTGTTTTCAAAAGGATAATCACCAAGAATTATGCAAATCTCAAAGGGTGTTATCTTTCTCATCCGACAACGCCCTCAGAGACGTGCATAATTCTTCATGCCATGCAAAAGCTAGATACAATAAATTTTTTTATTATTCATTCACAGACCTGCCAATTCTCACGATTCTGCCATAAATAAAGTCAGGTAAAATTTAATCCCCCCAATGGAAAAAGGTTCATTTAAATCTTGATAGGGAAAAAATAGAATCTCACTACCTTTTGTAGAATCTTCAGATTTTTTTTCACGAGTCTCCAGATTTTCCTTTTTTGGGGGTTGGCAGGTCTGAATTCAAAATATCATTTTTAAGCTCAAAACATGCTCACCTGTATGTAAAGCCAAATAAAAGCAGAGAAATATATTGAAGAAATAATAAATGGCTGTAAAACAAGGTGTGCCTTGGTCTGAGTACCTCCCTTGGCCTAGAGCACCCAGTGGTACTCAAGACCTTGGGCAAAGTTTCTCCCAATAAAGACCTCGCGGCTACAAGTGAATAAGATATTTATTGTCGATAATAATTCAGATGTGATCTAGTATTTTACCATTGCTATTGCACTATAGTGTTGCTTAATATATGGATGTGGTAATTTTCACAGTTTGGTGGCTTGTGGAGAGGACCATTTGGTGGAAATATGAGTAGTCCTGATGAACATATTGACAGAGGTATTAAATACAAACAGTTAATTTTGTTTTGAGACTATTACAGTGTAGTAGTATTGCTACATGTATGACTCAAACCAGCTAAACCTGTTTCCTGTGCAAGTTCTTGTTATTTTGGGGGTAATGGTCTTACAGCAAGGAACCCAAAACTGTGACCTCCTTTAGTGTTAACTCACATTCTTTCATGCAGACATTAACCAATCATAAGTCGAGGACAGTTTCCAGCTGGCTTCTGATTGGATGAAATGTGCATGAAAGAATGTGAATAAATCAAAAGCAGTCACACTTTTGGGCTCCTTTCCTTTCTCCTTTTATTCTTTGGATTTATAAATAACTGGATTAGAATCCCTTGAAATAACAGGATTTTACTCAGATATTGTTGAATGGAATATTTAAAATAATTATTATCAATTTTGTTCGTGATCCTTCAGACCTTGACAGTGAAGTTGAAATGGGAACACGAAGCTTAGATGACATTCTGGACCAAAAACACAAAGGCCAAATGTTAGAGCATGTTCCACGCTCATCCTCCTCTTCGTCATCATTTTCTAGTGTGACTGTCGTTGATTCAAATGGAGTAAGAACACTTTTTCACTTTTTATATGGATAATATTAAAGAACACTAGGTAGATAGCTACTTAGTAGTGTGATTTTACAGAACATGCAGAGATACAGCATATGTTGCAGGGGTGATTCTTACAGATTTTATTTTACTGTGGGACATTTTTTCAACTTTTATGAAATCAAACCTGATGAAAATTAGATACCGTGCAAGTTATTTTATAAGGCAGCAAAGCTTATCTTTTATATTTATGAAATGATTAAGTGATCTTCACCTTAGTTGTCTAAATTATGACAGAATCGTAAAAAAACTTTTTAATAAAAATTCTGTTTAGCCCCTCTAAATTGTGCATGCATTGCACTGCATGCATGAATCTTGCCTGCATGTCATGCATGCTCTGCTGTTATCAACATTGTGTTGAATTGTTTTGTTCAGGTCAGCGAAAGGAGAACCACAAGAAAGGATTCAACTGGAAAAGAGGAGGTAATTTGACGTGAATGTGTAAATATTATCTATAAATCATCTTTTTTTCTTCTCTCTCTTTTTTTCATTTAGTGTAGAAACCAAACTTGAATCAGTTTTTAGATTGAGAACCATCATTGAAGTCAGGTTTAGCCTGCGAGCAAGCTCACTTTTGCTTGTTCGGGGAAAATTTTGCACAAGTAAGCCTGCCCGCAGTCTAAGTCAGCTTAGGGTTTGAAGGGCTCTTTGAATCCTTACGGTCCTGCTTTATTGCGAACCTTATCTTAGTGAAATTAGATTGGTGTTTGACAAAGGACACTATTGGTAATTTTGACAGCCAGTCAGGTCTAATGGTTGCATTTAAGTTTTTGAAAGAAATTACAGACAATTCCCCATGGCAGCGTTAAGCCATAGATCTAAACGTATTGTATTCTTATCAGTCTTATTCAGTAGCGGTCATTGTAAAAGAGGTGGTTTAACTTGGTCTTAAGATTGTAAAAACGAGATGGTTGAATTTGCTTCATCCTCTCTCCAGGTGACTGTAACTCGCAAAATTGGTGATCAAACACACACATTTACCAGAAGGAAGGATGAGAGTGGAAATGAAGAGACGCGGGAAGATCTCGTGAACATTGATGATGGTGTGTAACAGTAACATAGAGAAGATGTTTTTAGTCAGTGACACAGGCTGCTTGTAAGAATAAATCTTAGTACTCCCGCAACAGGAGTCCAACTTATGACCTTCTTTTTACTGGTGCGCATGTTCTACCACTGAGGAGCTACACTGGATATTATAGCGTTAGCAGCAATGGTCCATCCCTATGAACATTTTAATTTCATTTACGTAGTACCAAACCGGGGGTACTCCTGGGAATTCTTGTTGGGGGTGTGACCAAAAAATGTAATTTTCCAGACCTCTAAAATCCATACCCGTTTTCAGACCTGGCCTTTAGGCAGAAATTATGTTATCATTACTTAGATTGAAGCGCTAACAACATTCTTCAAACCCATTTCGAATTCGCATATTTCTCTTTCTTTCTTACTTACTCATTGGGTATTGAATTGATTAAACACGTTCATACACTCCCGTAGTTCCCTCGAAAACCATACCCGATTCCAGACCAAAATGTCCAAAGTGTATGTCCGTTTTCAGGCAAAAACGGCGCAAACCCTACGCGATGGGGCGGCACATACCTATATAGCTTAGATAAGGGAGTACCCCCCCCCCCCCCCCCGGGAGGGTACGAAAGCAGTCCCAAAGCTACCAAAATTGACTAAGATTGTATTCATTTTTTTGTTTCTTTAGGCGACCTTGAAAAATTTAACGAAAAGTGGCATTCAAAAAGACAGGGTAAGCCTGACTCAGAGACTGCTTTATTGACTTTTGAAGGAGCAAGATTCCTCGCCTTTTTTTTTGTTTGGCTGTCAGTGAAAGCCAGGCCGAAAGTTGATGTACATGTATGCATACAGTCTGATTAAGGCGACATAAATCTTATAGGTGAAGTTTCAAAAAGAAAATCCGATAACACTCATGTCGAAGACTCGTACCTGCAGAGGTCAAGGACTCGCCCCCAACCCCCCCCCCGCCCCACCACCACCATTCCCACATCCGTATCCCGAAGTAGGAAGTTCCGTGAAATGTAACTTTAACCGTTTCCCGTTGGAAAATCTGCTTTCCTGAGGGTTAATTTGAGTTGTTGATAGCAAACAGTTACCCAAACGTTACACCTTATTACATGTATGAGAGGAACTGTGGAGACTATGCACTTTTGTTTCGTTTTTATATTCAGGGAAACAGACTCATTTGTCGGTTGATAACAGTTCTTCCTCGCGACACACGCCTTTTTCTTCCATCTATGAATCAGTTCTAGAGCAGTTCTTCCCCAGAAGATGACAACACATCTTTCCAAAAGAAGTATAATATCTGAAATCTAAATAATGGTAAAAAGGATCATCTGTGCTGTGCAAGAAAAGATAGTGCCCGTAGTTTCGTTTATAAACAGAAAACGCCTATAATGTAGTCCCTAATAATATAAAGATGAGGTGTATAAACATGTGCAAGGTACATTGTAACATAAGCTAAATAGGGGACAAAGAGGGAAAAATGGTCCTCCCCACCCGCGTGCAAAAATGTTTGTACTGTTGTGTGGTTAAGAACGATGTAACGTTACATGACAATAGAAGCGTCTGTCTACCTTGTGTCTATCCGTAAATCTACTATGGATTTTTTGTACGTAACATTGTAAATGTCAAGTTTGGAAGCCGATATATGAATGACTGATGTGAATTTTAGTGTACGACGTAGAGCATTTTCAAAGCATTGCCATCTTTCAGTCATTTCATGTGGGGATTAACAATACTTTGATGCTTAACCGTTTCTCTCACAAGAGCACCTAAAACTCCACGCGAAGGAAATGCCGGGTAATAACCGCGTGGGTTTTGAATAAACAAGACAGAGAAATTAAAGGTGTAAGTTTTGTCTCTTAATTTTCCTTTTTGTGGTCTTTTCAAGTTGTTGTTACGAAGAGACAAAGATAACATTGTAAGCAGTGATTTCTTTCTAGCATGGCTTTTAGAATTTGCGTAGTCGTTCGCGTTGGCTTGTCAGTCGCGTAGTTGGTTTGTTTACTCCTATAAATATTAAAAGCCATGCCAAAAAGAAACTTCTGCTCGTAGGGTATACAAAGATAGTCTGGATAGTCTCTAAAGTGGCCAGAGAGCCCGTCTTATCTAAATTTCTTAAGGAAATTTGTCCCTTCTTGGCCAGACAAATGACGTGGTTGAAGCTAACCTCGACCGCCCATGTTAGCCTGCAATGTAGGCGTATTTTAGGGGCGAACTAAACCTCCCCCTTTACGTTCCTAACGCTGTAGCCGCCATCTTTGATTTTATCGATATGGCTATTTCCACCATGGATAGTAGAAAGTCTTTCTATTATCCATGTTTTAACTTAACGATTACGCGAACAAAAACACTTGCTCACCCAACAAAAAAGCCCATAATGCAACAGCATGCTAGTCTGATTGCTGTGTGGATTCACGTCCTTTGTACCGCTTGACAACTCTTACCCCCCTAACTCTCCGCATAACCAACTGGAAGTGCTTCTAGGTATTCGACCTCAAAATGACCCCCAAAAGCATCTTACAATTTATAGAGGCCCAATTACCCTGAAGAGCTTAGCGGACCGAAACTGGGCGGGGACTTCTGTTGCTCCCTTTCCTTTTGTCCTATAGCCTGCCGGGACAGAAATTCGCTATAAAAATGTCGGAAAGTTAAACTCGATTAAACATTTAAAAGACAAATGATTACAACAGATCAATTATACTCGCAGCACTTCACCTTCTGCCAATAACAACTTGTCGGACTACTATATGTGCTGAAAACAAACGCAACGTGGCATTTATTGAGGTTACGTTCAGGACAGACGTGTGTTAAAATTGGTGAGTTCCTCTGTGTGTACACTTCTCCTCGCAAGTGCTTTGTGGCTGGACTTTTTTCGGTGGGATTGATAGGTTTGCTAAGGGTTTGCTCCGCTGTGAAACTGTTTCAGTCTGTGACTCTGCAAATCAAGCCAAATTAAACCCCTCTTCTAAATCATTATCCCTTAAGTAGTTAGTGAGTTGGTACGAGATTGCCTTCTCTATCATCTTGGAGGTAAATTTTAAGTTAGAGATGGGTCTAAAATCGGAATGCTCTTCATGATCAAGGTACTGTTTCTTTAGTTTAGGCCTTATCATGGCTTCTTTAAGTTGCAATGATTACATGGAAAATTTCCACCCCGATTAGCCGGGAACTCGGCATGACATTACTGAGATGCCAACTAACCAGGCTGGTTCGGTTTTCATCAAGAGAGTAATAACAACTCTGCGTTATCGGGTGTTGAGAGCTCTGCGGAGTGAGCCAGCCCGGGGTATGCAATTACAGGGGTAGCGTTGCCTTCACTTGGGTAGCACTGAAACAGCGCTTGTGAAAGTTCATAATGACATTGTTTCTGCGATTGACAATCAGTCCTATATTATTTTACTACTCCTTGACCTATCTGCAGCTTTTGACATTGTGGATCACAAGATTCTTCCGCAGAGACTCTCTTGTCTCTTTGGTATTAATGGCAAAGCCCTGCGCTGGTTCAAGTCCTACCTTGAGAATCGTAAACAAGTAGTCAACGTGAAGGGAGCAACATCGTGTCGCAAGGACCTGCGGTGTGGCGTGCCCCAAGGATCTGTGCTGGAGCCTATATTGTATGTATTGTACATGTCCCCGCTTCAGTGCAAGTAATTGAGTATTGATGCATGGATGCTTGCAAACATGTTAAAGCTGAACAGGGATAAAACTGAGCTCCTAGTGATTGGACCAAAGCACAAAGTCAACCCACCTATTAAGGGTATTCATGTCGCTGGTGAATACATTGAAGTCTCTAATAATGCTAGAAATTGATTCCCATTTGAACTTGGAGAAACATGTTATGAACACTTGCAAAACGGCCTTTTATCATTTACGAAATATAGAGTGTTTTCACTCACGGGGCCAGCATATATGCAAATTTATTGGAACAAAAGAAAGAGTTTGCATAAGAAAAGAGTTCAACTCCCAGAGGACTGGTTTGGGACACCAACATGGCCGCCGTTTCATTGTTTTGGGACACCAATATGGCCGCCGTGACGTCATGTGAAAACACTCTATAGCAAAGATAAGAAACTGTCTCTCTCAGGATAATGCTGAGACACCTAGATGAAATAAGTTATTTCATCTAAGTTGGATTTCTGTAATGCTCTTCTATATGGCTTACCTCAATCAGTTATTGATAGGCTACAGTATGTACAAAACTGCGCAGCTCGACTGGTGACTAGAACTCGAAGCTCAGAACATATAACACCAGTTCTTCGTAGACTACACTGGCTGCCAGTCAGACAACGAATTACGGGCAAAATACTACTTCTTACGTACAAAGCACTGAACGGCATGGCGCCAAAATATATAGCAGATCTCCTTCAGCCCTATACTCCGACGAGGCAATTACGATCTTCTTCAAAAACTCTGCTTGTAACACCAAAGTCTAATCTCAAGTTTGCCGTGACAGATCTTTTCAAGTTGCTGCGCGCAGGCTCTGGAACTCCCTATCCGATGACATAAGATCAATCCAGAACCTTGATGTTTTTAAGAATAAGATTAAAAGACTATTTTTTAGAGAGGCTTTTCTTAGTTAGTTGCCACCTTTTTTTCTTTTATTGTATATCCAGCCGGATTTATGAAAACCGTACCATCGGACTCCTGGAGCCCACACACCTTAAACTGACTCAACTAAAGTAAATATCGCCAAGAAACTCTGCTCTTACCCATGGTTCTCTTAAGGTGACTCTCTTCTTGGTTCCTGATTAGCAAAAGAAACATTCAAGTCCATCAAAAAGACACTCTGGACTTAGCCATACACTCTAGCTGCTTGAAGGCCCTAAATGACGGAGGATGCTTGAGACTGAACCAAGTTCTAAGCAGATAATTCAAAGTTAAATCACCCCCTGACTTCCTCCACCCCCCGCAGCCTAGCACGTGCTTGAGAGGAATGCTTTCATTGGCCAATGGGCCTCAAACATTACAAGAATTTGACATAACAAACTAAAGGCAGACATGACCAATGCACTGACTCTCCCACAGCAAGACTAACGGAAGGTACCACGCTTTTGCAGCACCGTCCCCCCCCCCCACCCTCCCGCTAGGGATTGACATGGAGGCCCCTTCCCAACCCATGGCGAGTTATCTCAGGGACTGAGCTTGACAATGTGACCAACCAGGACAGCAAGCTCCCTATGTTTTTCCTCATCACAGTGACCAGGTTCCCGTGCGAATATTCTGGCCCGTTTTGAGGTTTGTTTTCAAAAATTCGGGGAGATATATTTTCCCTAGTTAATCTTAGCAAGTCGATTGTATCTCATTTTTTAGAAATTTATTCCTACAACTGTTATATATTCTCTGTAATAAGTCAAATATTTTTATTTATTTTATTTTTTAGAAACAAGATTATTGTAAAGCGCCATTGAGCTCACGGAAATGGCGCTATATAAATTCTTGCATTATTATTATTATTATCGCGCAAACCGGGCAGTAGCGGGACAGCGGGTAACTCACTGCTCATGCGCATTGCTTCTAATCTCTGTACTTAGAATCTGTAGTGGCTCCTGGCTCATGTAATCATGCCCTAACTGAAAATAAATAAATCGGGAAAAATAACTTTGGGGAGTTTCCAGCGCAATCCAAGCCATTGCATTTCTGGAAAAAACCGGTAAAGTATCAGGCAAGTTCCCCAGTCAGCTATCTCATTCTATAAACGAGAGAAAAGCTAACAAGTGACAAGACATGAATGACATTCAAATTTCCTTCAGTAACTGCTTTCTTTAAACTTTGGAGAGGCGACAAAAGACATAAAAGTACCTTCAAGTTTCTTCCTTTATCATCTAGCTCTTGAGAACCTCTTCTCGTAAGATTGAAGGAGTTTTTTTTCTGCATACGAAGCCAAAAAACGTCAAGGCGAGCAATATTCTCTTTGCGTCTCCCTTTCACGACGAAACAATGGAGGAATGCGCGCCCATCAATCAGCTCATCAGATTCGTTTACTATTTGATATGAGCTCGTGGTGCTGTATTTGTCCTGTTAGACACCTCTATAAATAGGACACTTTGATTGTTTATGAATAAACTAAGAACATTTGATTTTTTATATTTTTTTATGTATATGTTGAGGATTTTTAATATTCTTCAGTACAAGCATCATGCTAAAACCCTTGAATACACAAATAATAGTTTTCTTATGTATTATTTTGTATTGCACTAGTTTGAATGTTTAATTTGCTTTCCCATTTCCCCGGGGGAAGGGCAATGCTACCGGGGTAGATTAAGGCGGCACTTCTTAATTGCATCATCGTTGACTTGATGCGAGAGCGTTGTCAATTAATAAATGTAGATCTAGATCTCCATTAGTCCGCCTTAATTCAACTTATGAAGGCAGAAGCACAAAATGTCTGGACCTACTAAAAAATAAGTCAATATTTTCCAAGAAGGTGTAACTAATTTGTAAAACTAGTTTCTCTTAGGTCGACACGCAGCTTTGAATATTGCAGTTAGAAGTGTGAAGTGCGAGGGCTAAAAAAGGAATTTTTTAGTAGATACCCTCTTTAAGAAAGGATCAGTATAGATCGAGATATACACAAGGGTTTAAACTGACCAAAAATCGACTGTGAACATGTATTTTACAAGTATTGCGAAATCCCGCAAGTGTAAAATCGCCAAATGTCTCCCATTTCTTTCGTTTAACTTTTCTGTAC